TTGATCCGATGCAGCTTCAACTAGAGGATACTGTGAGCACTGAGCTCACAGTGAAATTTTCCGTTCCCATATGAGCATAATGGCAAAGAACATTTCTTGGTAGTATTTAAAATCAGATTCTGTGAAAGTTCCATTAAATTACATTCTGAGGTTTAGGAGGAGTTGTGAATAAAAGATGTGTACTCCTTTATATTGAGAATAATGGCGCAGTCTTAGTTTTGCTATGAGAAACCCAAATATCTGTCAATTCAAAACGTAAATTAGGAGGTGCACAATTGCACTATGTAATAAATTTAATAGAGATTATGTGAAAGTCTCATTCTATTTTATTCAGTGGTATAGGAGGAATTGCAGATAGTTACCCTGAACGTTAAAGAATGGCAAAGTCCACGTTTTGCTGTGGGAAACCCCAAGTATCTTTCCGATCGAAACATGAAATAGGAGGTGCACAATGACACTACGTCACTGGCTAAAATTATCTTAAATATTCAGAAAAGAAAAATTAAAAGTGGGGGTCTGTGATGTTAATTTTAGATATTACTAGAATGGTGTTAATCTCAAGCTTAAATTGGGCTATTATTCCCCAGGTCTTTCACAATATATTTGTAAAAAATGATGAAAGAAATTCATGACAGTTAATTTAATATGTAATTTAGGACCAGCATAAAACATTGTATTCTGCAAAAACTCTCTACTAATGTGCATGCATTTCGTTGATAGAAACTTTGTTCGTTTTTTTTTTTATACTTTTCATTAGAATTTATCAAAACTGTTTTAACTGTATGTTACAATGTGTCGTCTTCATTACTTTACGGAAATAAAATCATAAAGAAACTCACTGACAGAACTAAGGAGACAAAGTGCTTAATTATTAAGAAAACTTTACTCGAATTGCCTTTTTAGTCACCTTAGTCACCCAGGTGACCTATTGCTTTCTGTTTTTGTCCGTCGTCGTGCGTTAACATTTGAAAATTTTCAGCTTCTTCTCTGGAACCGCTGACCAATTTCAACTTATTTTGACATAGAGCATCTATGAGTATAGGGGAACAAAAATGATAAATTTCATGGTCCCCCTGGGGATGAGGGTGGGGGGGGGGGGGCTGTGGGGTATGGCTAAAACCATCAAAATCATTGCAATCTTTATAAATTTGTTTCTTTACTCCTGGACACCGAGCAATCAAACTATAGCTATTGCCATGATTGTAATAAGCATTGAGACCTACACCAATTTTATGAAACTCATGGATCCAGGGTCACGGGTTCCTGAGTTAAGGCGGGGCTCTAACGATCATATAGTGAAAATGCATAAATTCTAAAAAAAATCTTCTCTCCCCCTGTATATTTAGCAGAAAAAAATAGGTGCATGATTATAATAAGCAGTGATTCCTCTTTCAAAATTGTGAAAATTGTGACCCAGGGCCAGGGTGCATCTCGGGTGGGGCTCTATTGATTATATAGTGAAAAAAAATCTTTAATTTTTTCTCTGTTCCTGGGTATTAAGGTAAACAAACTGAGTGCAAAGTTATGATGAGCAAGGGTGCCTCTTTCAAAGTTTTTAATTTCTGACCACTGGGACAAAGGATGGTGAAAATTATACATAAATTCTTCAATATATTCCCTTCTGCCCCTTAGTATTTAGAAGATAAACTTATTGTTTGTTATGAAGAGCCAGGGTGCCTCTTCAAGGGTTTTGAAATTCATAGCCCCTGGGTCAGGGGTTTTGATGTTAGGGCGGGGCTCTGCTGATTGTGTGGTGAAAACCCATTCTGTATGATTGTATCAAGAAAATCTTTTTCTCTGTTCCTGGGAATTTAGCAAACATAATAAATCCATAATTGTAATGAGCAACATTATGAGTTTCAAGGCTCCTGGTCGGGGGCTCTGGTGTTTGTGCGGGGCATCTTTATTAAACTTTAAGTGAAAAAATTAATTCTTTGAAAATCTTATTCTCTGTTCATGGGTTTTTACCAGATTAACTAAGAGCATGCTTATGATGTGTCTTTCCAAAATTATGAATTTCATACTACATTCGAGAAAAACTGGGTCACTTGGACAAGTGATTTGGTACTGGGTAGGGCTCTATTAATTTGTATTCTTTTTAGAAAACTTATTCCCCTTTGCAATTCACCTGTGATGATAATTATTAATCACTGTAAATAATGTCATTGAAATGTCAATTGAATATGATAATTATATAAGAACGTAAAAAGAACGTCCATTGTTTTTAATAGTCACGTTGACCAAGAAATAAAAAATGAGACAAAATTAACTTATCTTTGTACAATAAAAGTTTTCAAAAGACTAAGAGAATCCAGTGTGAGAAGGAATAAGAGAGTACTCTAAGAATGGTCAAGCACTCTTGTATTGTGTAGTTTTGCATGGTGATAGTGACAAATGTAGATTTTCTCTCAGTCTGAGGCATAAGCTTAAGTTGAATACGGAAGTAGCTTGCTACACGTGTAGATTTTTCTTTCAATTCTGATGCAATGATCGGCCACTCCACTTGTAGTCCATTTTTCTTTGGAAAATAGAATGTGAGTGTTCTGTCGGATGTAGTAATCGGTAATCTTCTTTTTTCTGATATTTATGTTGTTACATGCATACATGTATATTAACATTAATGTTATGTACTTATTTTAAATTTTTTATGATGATCTTGATAAATATATTCCTCAGAGCCAAAAATACAAAGTCTTATTGCAAAGTGTATCTGTGTTTGTTGTTTTTTATATTGAACTCACAATCATGGAACATTTTTTTTTTTTTTTTTTTAAATCATGATTTTCATATACAGCTGCTAATTGGAACAATTTGAGACTTTTACCTTTCATATCAGAAAAAATCAAAAGCAATTCATCCCATATTTCACAAAGTTTTAAAAGGATAGTATTGTACAGTTCCAATTCTGAATTCCCCATTAGACAAATAAAATTATATCTTATCACTACTGTTATTTGAGTTTACATTAGCAGTTTTGTATGGCTTTGCAAATTCTCTGTAAGTAAGTTAGGAATATGATTTTATTTTATTCTTTGTTAGTTGACACGTTTGTCAGTGGTCCAAATTCAAAGATCAATTTGCAAGGTCATCATAAATTAAAAGAAAAATGCTAATGAAGACATGTCACCTATAGCCTCACTCTGACCTAAAGATACGTTATTTAGATCCACTCTATTGTATGTATGAGTTTTGACCAATTAAAAAAGTTAACTCCCCCCTTCCTTCCTTTCTCAGCGCAATAGAGACGTAGTATATGTTTTTACTTTAAACAAAACCTTGGAGTAACTCAGAATTTTAGGGTTCTGCAGTCAAGACCCAAAAAGATTTTACTGAATGTTTCATATACATTGAATGTTCAAAATATGCAGATGAGCTTTACTGTATATTTCTTAGGTTACAGGTACGTACATATAGCATCGTTTTTGAAAGGGGAGGGGGAGGAGCAAACTCGAAAATCCTATTTCCTTGGAGGATTCTTCCACAATCAATTTTTTTCATACATTACCACATAATCCTGACTTTGTCTAAGCTGCAACTAAAAGTTACGGAGGGGGGGGGGGGGCAACTAGCCCTTCAATAAACATTTTAAAGAGTGAAATATATATAAATGTTTGAAAAAAGGAAACAACACCCCCCACACTTTGTGCCTGAGTTGTCATTAATATTAAATAACGCTGATATAATTTCTTTATTTCTTTAATTTTGCTGCCCATTGTTCTCTTTTGCATGAAGAATTTAATATTGTTTTAAATTGTAAAAATTAATCTCAAAAAGGGCGATTTTCGGCATTATGACATAATAATTTGAACTTAAGTGCAAAAAGGTCAAAATTAATGTTTAAGTAAGGTATCTTTTCTTCGTATACTGCTCTTGTTTGTTACCAAAACTTCATTTCAAGGATCTTTCAGCAATCTCAATCTAATTTTTTTTAAACAGTACTGAAAAAAATAGAATTAATTTATTTGTGGAGAAAAACAAACCACACATTATGCAAACAATTTGACTACAATTATGATATTCAGATATACATGTATCGACACTTTGGAGGTCATTCTTTCTTTGAAACGTTCTTTTTTGTGAAATATACCATCTTTGAAGTAAATTAACAATGCAAGTAAACATTTTAATATCATATCTGTTACCTATAATATGCATTGATACATTAAAGTTGTTCTTAAAATGTTCTAAATTGAGGGCAATAATGACGTCATAGTGCTCAAAGCGGTTAAATGCAATAAAATACATTCCATCTTCAGAGGGTCATTGCAACTTAACTATAAAAGATAGATGAAATTTTTTAACATATTTATAAAGTGTACATCCTTAAGTCATATCTTTATAATTATTTTAAATTTTCAAAAGAAAGGCCGATTTTCACTACTAACGTACCAGTTTTGGACAGATTTTTGAGATTTCGGTGCCCTTCTTAAAACGTTGCTACGGGCCTGAAAAACACTAAATACGTTAATTGTTTTGACAAGGAAAAAAAATAATTTGAATTTTGCTTAAACAAAAGTAGCGCGTAGAGGCCTTAAAACCTGTAAAAATATATCTTTTTCCGTGTCAATAGCATAAATACTCTCATAAATGCAGATATGATACCATTATATTTAGACCAACTTTTTCCATTCAAATCAATTCATTTGTCAGTTTCTAACACCCTCTTTCAAGAAATAGAACGGCAATTTTTTCGTTTCTATTATCATTGTGTATACACTGTATATGTCTTTAATAAAATGTTTCCAAACTTATTCATGTAAATTATAATGCGATTTGATGGTAAAACTGTTTTTCATGTAATTAAAAAGAAGTACAGTGTACCAGCAACTATAATCTGCTCTCCACTCATTGTAAAAAGGAAGAGAAAATACATCTTACTGAGGTCACATCTACTTTTTGTATCAAACCAAAAAAAAAAAAAAAAAAAAAAAAAAAAAAAAAAAGGAAAAATCAGAATCAGGAAAAGTTTTGCAATGTTTTTATTAATCAGTCAGGTTTTGTCATTTTGACACGCATGGCTTGAAAAGTAGAAATACTCCCCCAAGAATTGAGCATACTCCAATAAAAGAAAATCCTGAAACATAACTTCCAGTGGAATCTCGTAAGATACCTGAAATAGAAAAAAATAATTAAAAAAAGACAAATCTACCAGTGTTGTAGAGCAGGATTTCCCCTATAGCCTGCTTTTCCCACGGAATCTGTACACTGGAGTTGGTTTCACTCCCGAGGGCAAATCTCACACTAGAGCCAAATCTCCCCTATTTCTTTCTAAGAGTAGGATTTCAATGCTAAAATCATAAAGACATTATTTTAATTAAAGTTTATATAAAAGTCAACTGATTTTTAATGAAAATATGAGTGTTTAAGACCCAAAGATTGTTCAAATTAAGTATGAAATCTTAAAATATTTAGTACAAATCACTGAATAACTCATAGTTAAAAAATTGTAAAATTAATCACTCGAAACAATCGTAAGACTCGATGTCTTGATTTCTCTCTTGGCACAGCGGTCACCTATTTGTTCACTAATTTAAAATGTATACCAGGTCACCTTTAGAAAAAAATAATTTGTTTGCCTTCTTCAGACGCAGTTTTTTTAATGTATGGATCTTTGCTTTTAACAAAGAGTGTGTGGGAACATTCTAGAATTTATATCATTGTTAGATTCCTCATATCCTCAAACTATTTTGTGAGTATTTGAATTGCTTTTAACAAAAAGTGTGTGGGAACATTCTAGAATTTATATCATTGATAGATTCCTCATATCCTCATACCATTTTGTGAGTATTTGAATCGAGTAGTTCTAAAAAAAAAAAAAAAAAAAAAAAAAAAAAAAAAAAAAGAATAAAAACAAAAAGCCAAAAATCAAAAACAAAACAAGAAACACTGCTCTTGCAAGTCGAAGCATAAGTATGTCCCCTCGACCCCAGTGGAGTATTATTGGATTTGAAAGCAGAGAGAAAATACTCTCTTATAGTTTTACAAAATTTCAATTATTTTTTTAGAAATTGACTCATTTTTAGATTCGTGACGACGGCATCTATTTTGGACATTCAAATCCCAGAAACTTGGGGAAACACTTAAACATTGATATTATGTACATGTAGTTTGAAATTCAATTTAGGAAAAAAAATCCATTTGAAATAATATTCCTCCTTTTTGTTTCCATGGCTACAATTAAAAATTTGTCTAAACGATTACGTTATACTATATACATATATTTTAAGAAACCAGTCTGACCAGATGAAAGAAATGACTTTAATGCTTCAAAAGAATTGGTTGGAAAGTTACTTAGAAAAATGAGATTTAAAATTTTCAATATTCATACTTTGAATGCTTTAATGGAACTGGCCGATTATATTATAGTTTTTGTAAAGTTTCATTAAGATTTACTACTGCAAGAGCACCTATGGGAAAATTATAGAAGGGACATAGTATTTTTTTCGGGGGGGGGGGGGTTCTGGAGGAAATCTCACACTGTAACTATTACACAGAGTAGGATTTCCTCCTTAAAATTGAATCTAGTGTGGAATTTCTGTGAGGGAAGTCCTTCTGTAGAGTCATTTTTCTTTGAGTGAAATTGTACTCTAGAGCCTATTTTCTGGGAAAAATCCTACTCTAAAGCTAGTTTTCCGAGGGGACAGATTTTAGAGGGAAAAGCCAACTCTAACTCTACAAGACCGTACTTTATACAAAGTTTTGCAATCAGTGATAAAAACAATCTTGTATGTACATGTATACACACAATTATAAAGTTATGTCTAAAATCAGCAGAAACAAGAAGTATTTCTTTAACTTTCAAGTCTGATAGACATCAAAAAGGCCAATAAAGATTCATTTCGAGGATAACATATTGGTGCATTTAAAACAAAAGACTGGAAATGTGTGCTGCCGTTTTCTGTGCTATAACCTACCAAACACTAAGGAAGTTACAGCTCTTGATATTCCCGTCATTACCGCTCCAAATGCTATTCCGTAGTTTAGTTTGTCCAATCCAATGAAATCAATTACCAAAACATTTATCATAGAAAAATAAACTCCTCCAAACATGGCCTGTAGAATTCCAAATATCGCAAAATATGTAAAATTGGTAGAGAAAAATGCCATAAAGCATATGATGCCATTGGTGACCGTTGCAATAGTCATCATGTGGCGCCTTTCAATTTTCTTGTTATCCGCAATAAATACAAATAGTATTCGACCCACTAAGTCGCTTGCAGCTGAAATCGTTACGAGGTATCCTATTAAATCCGTTTGTAATCCTCTGTCTTTTGCAAAAGGTGGAATGTAAGTAATAGGAATACCGCTGGGAGCGGAGACTAGAAGTATTGAGATCATTAGTAGGATAAATTGACCATTCTTAAACAAGGAAAAGTCAAATAATTTAAACAAAAACTGCAAACAGCAATTTATGCCTTTTTCCTCGTCATAAACGTCATTGTCTATTTCTGCTTTGGAACATGCCAAATTTAGTCCTTCCATGGATACTGTCAGTGAAATATCTGCTGAACTTCCTAGCAGTTTTGAAGGTTTGGCCTGTATATTTCTGTCATCCTCTGAGCTATTTTGTAGAGAGTTCAATTTACCATCAGAACCTTTGCGTTGAGGAGAATGATTCGATGCGATTAGATTCACCTTCACTTCATTTTCACTTTCTTCCTTTATTATTTCATTTGAAGCAAGACATTCTTCAAAGAGTCCTTTACCTACTAAGTCTTGGCTTTTGTCTTTTTCTTCGATGTCTTGTAATAATTTTTCCTTTCTTTCAATTGGTCTCATCAACATCCCAATGGGAATAAAATGAAGAAAAATCCCTCCAGCTATAATGAGCGTACCTTGCAGGCCATATTCCTTAAACAGATAAGCGTACAAAGGGGGAAAAGTCAATCCCCCTATACTTCCGCCGACATTTGCAATCGCATTAGCCATTCCTCTGCGTTTCTCAAAATATTTACTAAGTATCAAAGTGGATGGAGCAAAAGCAGACGCCACTGTTAGAGCTAAAAGAAAAAATAATGCTCTCATATAATATTGCTTATGTAACTTATGCAATATTTAAAATATCAACTACAAGGTTTAAAGGTTAGACATACCAAATAGAGTACTTTGTGTAAAGAACAATACTGAAGCCTGAGCGGCATATGCGTTGCCTACACTGGAGGCAAGTCCAAAGAAAGCAGTACCAATTATCAAGGGCCGCTCACCAATGTATCGAGTTCCAATTCCCATTATAATAATAGCTAAAAAATGTTATAAATAAAATTATTATTAAAAAAAATCTTTTCAATTACCTAAGTATATATTTTGTTACTTCCAATTTAAGGAGCATTTAAATGATAAACTAAAGAAAATGTCAAAAGGGATAAGAGAAAATATATTGATATGAATCACTTCGAAAAAACATTTGGAAAAGTTTTATATTTGTATTTGTTTAGGGCCAACACATATATGAATATTTCAAATATTCAAAATACATAAATCCAGATACTTACAAACAGCACTTGCTATGATTGTTTGAACAGACAGGATCATAGATATTACAGATGATGTTGCTGAGTATTTTCTCTGGTATTCCACAAAGAATAATCCAAACGACTTTAACATACCAATTATTATTAAATAGCCCATGAAGCACCCTTTAAGAGATTGAAAATTATAATATTTTCAGCAAATGAGTGGGAAAAAATCTAAATCAATTCTAAATTATTTATCCTTTGATTAGTTTTCAGTAATCCGTCAGTCCAGTTTTTACAAATACATACATGCACTTAGAGAACTGTGTTCAAAGGTTTAAGTTTATAAACCTTTTACAATCACAATGAGATATGGTCCAAAGCAAAACTTGACACAATGTTTTTCAAAGAAATTCAAATTGAAATCTTTCTTTTTTATTCTATCTCTTGAAATTTTCTGTGTGTCAAATTATTTCATCAAATTTGTAACAAATATATGCTAATATAGTAATGTATATAGAGGAAAATAAAGAAAATATTTTTAACACTTAATTTAATTTGGCTCTCTTTGATCGTGGCATATTTAAAAGCAGCAATGGGTGGTCGGGCGTAAAAGGCAGCATACAACATACCGTATACTGGGTTATTTAAGCGGGGTGCTAATTTTGGCTTATTTTGGCGTTTTGATAGTAGCCCGCTAAAATTTTAATCCCTAAAATATGCAGTACTCTTCTTGGTGTTCATATGCAAAGAGTTGAAACCCTGTGTCCGCTAAAATAAATTACGCCAAAATTATTCGCATACCTTTGAGCAGGCAAAACGCCAAATTTTACACCCGCCAAGAAAACCCGCTATGCGGTAAAAGTAAAATATACATATACTACTAATAAGCAAAAATTAGCCATTCTGAGTATTCCGCGAACGGTAATCATTTAACTTTACATGTCTGTACAGTTATTGGGTTAACTACAAACGTTACTGAAAATATTTAGCAAAGCAGGGCATGAAAAGCAGCACACATTTTCACAATAAATGAATTTATTTTAAGCAGGGGCGCCACAATGAATTAAAGCATCAGTTAGTCAGAATTCTTCATGTGAAATTGAATATCAAAAATCTGAATTGATAGAGAAAACTCAACAGCAGACAAAACTTCTTTTTATTTAAATTACAATGTAAAATTACACCATTTTAGGGCTGGGACTAAATAAGAAAACTTCTAATTGTAAGTATATTTTATATAAATCTGTCTGCTACAGGAATTTGAGGGATTCCGATCTGATCTATTTTTTTTTAACTAACCCAACTTAAGTAGCAGAAAATGGAATAAGCGCATCTATTCTTTCAATTAATAAATGCTATTATCAATTATTTCATCATCTCCAATCAATCATAATTAATTTCGTTAAAAAGGAAATTTATTTCGTGGGAACGAATTTAATTTTGTGGGAACGGATTTTTATTTCGTAGGAACGAATTTAATTTCTTCGGAACGAATTTTATGTCGTGGGAACGAATTAAAAAAAAAAAAAAACTATAAATGTCCTATAGCAGCCACCATATGCACAAGCCTTTGGAAAAAGATAAAAAAGTTTTAATTTGATATGCTGATAGCATGTATATAATACCTAGCCATGATATTTTTTTTAATAGACAGGAAGAGGGCGTTAAAAGTTTATTGAAAACCTAGTGTAAAGTATGGCGCAATGACATGTAGCATTTAAATTCATATACAACGAAGTGCAATGAACATCCATGGCTAAATATTGAAAGGTGTAAACTCTTGCAATCGATCAATGTCTTTTTCATATGTGGATATCCTTCGTCACTTTTTATATTTTATTTATCTTTCAACATACGTGTATTATTTTTGCTTTTGTTGTAACTCAACACTAAAGGCAAGTACACGTCATGATAAAAGATTTGATAGGTTGTGTAAGTTAAAGAAAATTCTTGTTCTAAACACTTACCAAAGAGGACGACCCATGCCCAGCCTTTGTCAACAGACGATGATGTACTTTTCCGGAAATGAAACATTTTTTCCCACCTATGTATGCATATGCATTATATTCAAGAAAATGGTATACCACATGTATTTATATATTAATTTCTTAAAGTATCAATATCATAATATTGAGTTAATCTATCATTTGAAAAAGTTGTGACATTTGGATCTTACCTTAATCTCGTTTAGCTGTGTTGTCACATGTTAAGCAAAATGATATCAGATAGTTAAAATTGGTCAGATTATGTAACGCTGTGAGGGAAAGAAATTGAAGTTGTTTTATTAAAAGGATGCCACAGAAAATCATTATGAATTTAAAATTTAGACTAAACAATTTTTGAAATACATTTTTCCTTCATCGAACAAAAGTAATAATTCCAGACAAACTTACATTTCTCTCATTGAAAAGATAGAGAAAAAAAATTAATGGTAGCAGGGATTTTTGAGATGGAGTACCAAGATAAGTGTTTCCAAAAGACAGAATATCATTTATTTTCAGAGAAAATGTTTAAAAAATAAAACCCCTTATTTTATGTTTGGATGCAAATTAATCCATTTCATTTCTCTTTATGGATTTCTACGGCGTCTGCATTCATAAAAATAAACATTATGTAGATATGGTAGCAAACATCAGGTAGAACTCATTCCCGGTACATAAGAAGCAATTCATAGATAAATCTTGAATGTAATTTTTAAAAGTAATTAATCATCTTTGGTTTTCTCTTCTTTCCTGGTACATGCATTTGTCAAAGCAATTTATGAAGACATAGTCTATCTCTGTGATTTTTGTATCGTTTGTATACTTGATATTAATGTTTTATGGGATCATCTTTAGTAAAAAAATATAAGCCGAGTTAGTGCCGACGAGAGTCTAATGTCTGACATAATGGCCAGTTTAAGGCTTATAACTTACCGGTACTTAAAATATTTCACCAATGTCGAACACTTTCATTGTTAACTTATTGGGCAGACACAGGTAAACGGGTCTCGTTCTACTTGGATTTCTTTAATTACCTTGTACTGTTCATTAAGTTAGACCAAAGAAAACTAGTTTTGGATTTTCGTCTGTTCTTTTTCAATAGTAGGAATCATCGAGCTATGTTTTATATCGATAAAAATGAACATTAACTTTGTTTTGTCTTATTTATCCGCATTGCGACATTTCGATATTCTACGCATGCGTAAAAGTTAGTTCTATTATTAAAAAAAATCTTCAAGATTTATTCATTTCACAATGTAACACCATGGATAACGGCATACATTTTAAACAACGACTTCTTCAGATTCAGGTGTTTTGACAATGCCATTAATCGAGTCCACCAAAATGCAAACTTAAGCTCATGTTTTCCACTGTGAAATCCAGATATATTCTTATATTTCGGAGTTTTCAGGAAACAGTCTCTTATTTGTGTAAAGCAACAGGATTTGAAGGATTTTATTCCAACCATTCTTTAGGTATTTTTTTTTTTAAATTGGGAGATTATTTCTGATATATATTTTTATAGAAAAAAAAATCAATTCATTTCTCCGCGACTCTAAAGCAATCACTGTAACCAATAAGCCAAGAGGTCGACTTTTCCGAATGTCAACTGGAATGAAATATGAAGACACCAAACAGTAATCAAGCACAAATTCATTTGAACAATGCAAGTTTTGTATTGAGCAAACACGGACCTCTAAAAAAAATCTGTTGACAATTCAGTGTGAAAATAATGGCCCTACAATTTGTATGAAAAACATCAGTCATTCGACTTAACGACATATTGCATTTTCTAGCAAGGCCATCGTATCGACCATAGAATTTGCAAAATGTTAACTTTAAAAGGGAGTGTTGATATCGTTTTGTCATCAACTTATTTGTCAATAGTTTTAGAAATTGTTTTTTCGTAGAACACGCTCTTTCGTATCGAATCAATTAATATTCGGAGACACAGACTGGTGAGAATGGAACATATATATTGCTACATTAATAACGGAAGATGACGATAGAAAAGATGAAGTCATCACGTTTGTCATAAAGTTTATTGTTAAGTTACCATTATTTTTTCTAGTAAAATATCCAAATATGAAACAGATTTGTCAAATATTTCTAGTTCAAAGGCACATATGTCGAATCTACGTAGGCATGGAATGAAATATTGTTAATTGATAAAACGCCGTCGATATAACTAAATGTCGAATGGAAGGCCACAGTAAAAGATTCTTTTCATGTAGAAATTTTTGAACAAATTCTGCATCATATTAATTCAAAAATTGGTCTGCCTAATAACGGGGCGCAATTGGTACCCATGGGAATTCCAACAGATTGTTGGAAGACTTGATCTCAAATATAATTACATAAATTCTGTCAATCTGAAACTCGGGCATCTTTATTAACATCAACTTTGGAGTACTTGTTTGTACACAGCACTGATAAAGCTGCATTAAGTAAGCAGGGCTAGATTAATACGGGAAACGTAACTGTGACCTCACACTGAAAAGGCAATTCCTCACAATACCAGAAATTGAAATAATTTGCAATTTTAAACTGCATAATGAACTACATTAAAACTTACCACTGCATTCATTTTGTGCTAGTTAAATCCTACACAGCAAGGTATAAACAAGTCACTAATCACAATGCAGTTGTCGACATGAGGTCATCATGATAAAATTTGACGTAGTGAGAGGCGGATCCGAATTTCTTCACAGTGAAAAATGCATTTTATTATCAAATACAGTATTATTCACACAATGTTAAATATACCATTAATACCAATGCAAAACCTTTGTTTAGCGCAATATTTAATAATTATCAAGAGAATATATTAACTGTACCGTGCTTTTTTGTACAGGATTGGCATGTTTTCAATGAGGTGCCTCATTAAATCATTTTTTCGCAAGGGCATACACTTTATGAATTTTGACCATTTTATTTAATTTACATAAAGAGACTATTCCTCAACATGAAAAGTGCTTTATTTCGTGAAATCGATACCATTACTTAATAAATACATAAAATTCTAGGTAAAGGTCACATATATTTCAACCTGAGGCCAAATACTTGAAATTTAAACTAATGAAATGCGAATTCTATTCAAAGCAGCACCACTTTCGAGAAACTTATTTAGATATTAAGATATTTAGAAAAAAATTATCACTTAGGGTGGGTAGGGTGGGGCCACAATGGGAGATTAGAGTCTTACATAGGAAAACATAGGATTGATTGATTGTATGTTGTTTTATGTCCTGTTCGAGAATATTTCACTCATATAGAGACTTCACCATATACCGGTGAAGGGCTTCAAATTTAGACCTTTACTCGGCACTCAGGGCCATTAATATTGAGCAATTAGTTTTGAAGATTTAAAATGATATAACATTGCATTTTGGGAAAAGTATCAACAACAGAAAAAAATAATTTTTATCATTCTGATTAAAATCAAACCTTCCACTAGCTCCTTTATTTTGATGCTCGCGTGTCAGACTGAAATTAATATAACGTATTTTATCTGTAATAACGTCACGTTAACGTCATCTCCAACGTGTAGTGCATTAGGGCAAATAGACACGAAAAATAAAATATTTTTATCCGGATTGAGTATGGTATGTCATATTCATCCTTTGGCATAGACCTTCATAAATATTACTGACATGTAAAAATAGGCATCTTGACGCACATGTCAGAGACATCAATAGAATAGCACATAAAGCAAAAGGTGCTTAGTGATTTCACATAAAATATGATTGATACAATAGAGAGTACTTTTTATTTAATTTGGACGAATTCTTGAACTTGACTTATAATTTCTCGGCATTTGATTGTAGATTTTCAGCATGCAAAAATGACGTCCAAATCGCATTCGTTTACAAACAGCATGGAGTTTCCCGTAAGTGACGAAGTTAGGGTAGTGACGGAGTTAGGGGGTTTGTAGCCTGGTTCCCTGGATCATCTTTGCCAAGGCAAGGTAGTGTCGCGGAGTATACGAAGCATAACAGGGACGATTAACCAGGGTAGGGGGTTTGGTGATACTGAAAAGTAACTCGGTATATTTTGTTGATTCCCTGAAGACTGATTCCCTGCCATATGATGTGTCAGTTTAATGAACTGATACACACCTATTCGGAACATGTAGCAATTTCTTTTAATCGTATAGATTTTAGATATGTTCTAAATAAACTTGAATATTCATTTCCTAGCTCAGTAAGGAGGCGGAGCTTAATGCTTGATTTGTATGGGATATAAGTAACTTGTCATTGTGACGTTATGATGCAGTGAGAGGTTCATCATGTTACTTTTTCATAGCAAAAACTGCATTTATAATTATATATTCCTTGCAATATTACCTTTGTTAAACATTGTTAAAGTTCTAAAAAGAAACTTCTGTCCTATTAGAGAATGTACTTTTATCACAAAAATACCGAATTTTCCTTTGCGCATCTGATAATTGCACTGCATATAAAATAAAATTGCAGTTGCGAGTAAACTGGTCTAATTTTTGTCACTGAGGGAGTCGGCATGATTTTAGTTCCCCCCCCCCCCCTCGAGCAAGCTTACTTCGCCTCGGGAAATATGCTTGCTCTCAGGAAACTGGAAGCATCTTGCAAGAATCGTCTTAAAATGTATTTTCTTATTTTGTATATTTTACCCGAGCATCTTACCTGGAGAGGGTATAGTATATGTCAAGTGCATGCCTTAAAACAAAAATTACCGTTAGACATAATTGTCCTATTTTAGGTTGTGGATATTAATGTGACAATTATTTGACACTTACTACCAGGTCTTGTACATGTAGCTACATGGGCATAAAAATACTTTAGAAAATTATTTGTGTAATGCAAATATTAATAGTTAGTCCAAAATTGATACAGATAATGAACCATAATATTCTAAATGAATATCGTTAGTAATTAAGATAATGTACCTCCTATAAATAATTTTATTTTACCCCCTTCATATGAAGTTATAGGAATCACCCTGTTCATCCGTCTAGCTGTCCGACTGTCGATGCAATCTTGTCCAGGCTTTAACTTTCTAATAGAGAATCATCGA